GCATTTTTATGTAAAGAATTTAAAATTAGAAATGAGGAAATGAAGGTTTTTGTTGGGGGGGTTTTGCCTCAAGGTGTAGGGCAAGGCTACTGCCACTTGGAAGTTGTGTGTTTGTGGGTTCTATAAAAAATGATTTCAGGGGCACCTGGGTGGCTCAGTTGTTAAGTGTCTGCCTTCGGCTCAGGTCATGATCCCAGGGTCCTGGGATCGAGCCCCGCGTCGGGCTCCCTGCTCAGCGGGAAGCCTGCTTCTCCCTCTCCCACTCCCCCCTGCTTGTGTTCCCTTTCTCGCTGTGTCTCTCTCTGTCAAATAAATAAAATCTTAAAAAAAAAATGATTTCATTAATTTAGTAATCAGAAGAAAAATAAGTGGTACTGATTTTGTCTTGTTTTGTTTTATGCTGGTTGCTTACTAGGCTTATTAATGTTTGAAGGGAGTAGAAAGGGCTTTATCTGTGTCTTCACGCAAACCCCCAAAGGTAGGATCATTAAGGCTGGAAAGTGTCTTGTCTCTTCTACATGTTAGTTTTTTGTTTTTATTTTTATTTTTATTTATTTTTTTTTAAAGATTTTATTTATTTATTTGAAAGAGAGAGAATGAGAGATAGAGAGCACGAGAGGGAAGAGGGTCAGAGGGAGAAGCAGACTCCCTGCTGAGCAGGGAGCCCGATGTGGGACTCGATCCCGGGACTCCAGGATCATGACCTGAGCCGAAGGCAGTCGCTTAACCAACTGAGCCACCCAGGCGCCCATGTTTTTATTTTTTTTTTTAAGATTTTTATTTATTTGACAGAGAGACAGCAAGAGAGGGAACACAAGCAGCGGGAGTGGGAGAGGGAGAAGCAGACTTCCCGCTGAGCAGGGAGCCTGATGCGGGGCTCGACCCCAGGACCCTGGGATCAGGACCTGAGCCGAAGGCAGACGCTTAATGACTGAGCCACCCGGGTGCCCCTGTTTTTTTTTTTAAAGATTTTATTTATTTGACAGAGAGACACAGCGAGAGAGGGAACACAAGCAGGGGGAGTGGGAGAGGGAGAAGCAGGCTTCCCGCCGAGCATGGAGCCCGATGTGGGGCTCAATCCCGGGACCCTGGGATCACAACCTGAGCCAAAAGGCAGATGCTTAACGACTGAGCCATCCAGGTGCCCTGTTTCTGTTTTTGTTTTTACTTCTTATTTCCTGTTTAGGTTGTAGTTCTAAGGCTTGGTTCTGTCATTACCCAGAATTACTATTCTCTTCTTCTGTGGCTTTTTTTTTTTTTTTTTTGCTTATGAAAATGCCATTATAATGCCTCTGGGAATTTCTTCTGTTTCGGAGGCAAATGTAGTTACTGTGATGCTGTTTTGGAGCAGCTTCTCCCTCCACACATGTGCATATCTCAAAATACACCTTTTCTAGTACACATGAAAACTTTTCTTAAAGAGAATCATTTGTATATTTATACACACACACATGCACATATATAATTAAGAAGCAAAATCAGAATTATCCAGAGTAATGATGAGTATTGGGGGTTCTTGACATAGGTTTTTATACCTAGTGTTAATACCTTCAAGAAAGATCAATTTAGGACAGGTTTGCATGTACGAACTGAGGACTTTTGGGCTAATTTCTGCATAAATGTAATTTTGCCTTGGAGTTTATGCCGGCTCTGTTTATGTCTGTATAATGCAGGCTTGGTGTTTTTTCAGGAAAGCTACCACTGAAAAGGACAGAAAGCATTCTGTTCCTCTCCTCCCCTGTTAAGAGACTTAATTCTCTTCCAGTCGACTCGGACTGAGTTGTATCCTGTGGGCACTTGTAGAGCAGACAGCGTGTGCCTGTGGATTCTTGGAAACCTCCTCACAGTGTTGCTTAAAAAATATCTGAGTTGAAGATTGTAGAATTCTCCAGTGCAAAAACGAGTTTGAATAGGAAGTTTTAATTTTCATAGAATCCGCATGAATCCCAAAGAGGACTGGTGAGAGAGATTTTAATACTCTGAAAAAATAGTATAGCGTACCGGAAAGATCACTAACCCAGAGTTTAGTCGGGGCTCTGTTGTACAGTAGCCAAGTCTCCTTACACCGGTTGTGTATATGGTGCCTTGGTTTCTTTATCTGTAAAAAAAAAAATAAGAAGTTGGAGGGCTCCCTTCATGCAGATTCCCTAGGAAGAAGGCATCCACTTCTCACTCTTAAAGCCCCACTAAAATGACAGTAAAGAGGGTGTGTGTGCGCGTGCACGTGTGCGTGTGTGTGTGTTCAATGGCATAAACCCCAGAGAATGAAGAGAACCAGAAGTAGGAAGTCGGAAAGCAGACCGACTAGTGATACAGGGCTCAACAGGTCGAAGAAAGTGGACTGCTGATGTGGCCGCAGGGAAAGCCGCTACCACCCCAGAATCCCCCAGAAGGTCAGGAATTAGCAGTGTCAAGTACTTTTGCAGATAAGAATAAAAGTGGCAACTAAGATAAAAATTGGTTGAAAGCTATTTGAAGAGCAGTCGGACACCCAGGTCCTTTCCCCGTCCTGGCAGAGGACTGAAGACTTGATCGCCCTCAGGGATGGTGAAACAGGGGCCCCTCAACTTGGGGGCTCCTGGCTTGGCCTAGGTGCCCCCAGCCCCTTTCTTCTCTTCTATCCCAATGTGCTTGTAGCAAGGACTGCAACCTTCTGGCAGGAGGTTAGAATAGAGTGCTCTGGGGGCACCTGGCTGGCTCAATCAGAGAGCATGCAATTCTTGATCTAAGGGTTGTGAGTTCGAGCCCCACGTTGGCGGTAGAGATTACTTAAACAAACAAACAAACAAAAAAAAGAATAGCGTTCTCTGGGGAATCTGATTGGACCAAGAAGGAAGACCCTAAGATACTGACGCTAGAGGCTTCCACACCAGACTTCTGGCCAGAACACTCTGTAATGAAGAGCCTCAGTCCAAGCCCTTCCAGTTAGCTGGTTAGTGTCCCACTCGTTTTTTTTTTTTTTTTTAAAGACTTTATTTATTTATTTGACAGAGAGAGGGAACACAAGCAGGGGGAGTGGGAGAGGGAGAAGCAGGCTCTCCGCCGAGCAGGGAGCCCGATGCGGGGCTCCATCCCAGGACCCTGGGATCATGACCCGAGCCGATGGCAGACGCTTAACGACTGAGCCACCCGGGCGTCCAAGTGCCCCGCTCTTAAATATTAGTAGGTGACCAAGGAGCACCGTGCTAGGGATCAAAACAAACAAGCAGCAGCAAACTGAGAGAACAGGTTATGCTGGGAGAAGAAAATGCAAAAGAGCTATCCCACGTTCTCAAGGGTGAGGGGAAAGGGATCGCAAACATGCAAAAAGAGTATATTGTAAGAAATGAACATTCAGAAAATAAAAAGGACTTTTTAAACTTAAAAAAATAGCATAAGTGAAAATTAAAAGAATGGCCAGGGGCGCCTGGGTGGCACAGTTGGTTAAGCAGCTGCCTTAGGCTCAGGTCGTGATCCTGGGGTCCTGGGATGGAGCCCCGCGTCCAGCTCCCTGCTCTGGGGAGTCTGCGTCTCCTCCCTCTGCCCCTCCCTCCACCCGTGCTCTCTTTCTCTCTCTCTCAAATAAATAAGATTAAAAAAAAAAAAAAAGATTGAAAAGAGAAAATCAGAGGACCAGGAGGTCCAACATCTAACTCAGGTTTTCTGTTCTCCAGAAGGAGGTTGCAGAATACAGAAGGGAGGGAGATCGTCACCACAGGGATACCTCTAGTCCTGCCCCCAAATTCTAGAACAGGAGGACATGAATTTCTAGACTGTAAAGGTCAAATGGCCAACACAGTGGGTGAGAGTAGAACTCAAAATAGAAATGTGACATTTCCTGAACCAAAAGGAAGTTCATCACACTCTTAGAAAGAAATTCCCAGTCACCTTCACAAAGAGCCGGAGTTGGAATGGCTTCAGAATTAACAGGTGTAGGTGGAGTCTAGAAGGCAGTGGGTAGCACTTGCCCACTCCTCGGGGGGAGTTGTTTCCAGCCGAGCATTCTGTAAACCCAGCCACCCCGTGAATCAAGTGAGAAAGAACAAAAACAGTGAGATGTACAAGATTTCAAAACCACTTCCCATTGCCCCCTGCTTAGGAAGCTACTTGGAAGATGTGTTCCAGCAAGAAAAAGGGGGACAGTGAAGCCAGGCACAGTGAGGTTTCACCCTGGTGAGAAGTGAAGGGAGTCTCTAGAACGCCGAGGAGGGGAGACCGCAGGGCGGCATCTGCACAGCGGGCACAGGGGAGAGCCAGTTGGGAAGACAAAGTTGAGAGAATGCCTGATGCTGGTGGACACCCTAAGAGCGACCGTAGTGGCAGAGGGCATGGTGTTGCGTTAGTCATGATGCCGTATAAAAGTAAGCATACAGAGAAAGCAGTCCCTTCAGGAAAAAACGAATTATGTGGGAAAAGAAAAGGAATCATAACTTTGCACATTTCTCAGCTATGAATAGTATCTATAGAATAAATACTTCAGTGTAAATACTAAAGATGGGCTGAACCACGGCGACCATAGATGTTGGGAGACAGGAAGGCAAAGGGGGGGTATGTGCGGTGGGGGGGGGGCAGGGGAGGGAAGGAAGCAAAATCCGCAGGCCCCACAGTGGGAAGTCAGTGGGTAAGACTTAAGAAGCATCTCGAACAGTTGTATAAGAAGTAAACACTAAAGTAGTTGGCTAAAAGAAGCGAAACTAGTTCCTGTAGAGAGTAAGACATGGGGGGAGGGGGGTGCTGGTTGTTTTTTTGTTGGTTTTTAATTACGTCGTAGAGTTCTTCGACGGGACACTGAGTGCGTATAAAGCTGTGATAACAGTAAGAATAGAGACACTGGTTAAAATGGTATCATCTGGTTAACCTTTTTATTGATGGGTTCAAATTTTTAGCTCCAGTGAAGAGCTAGTCCAGAGTCCTGATTCTGCAAAAGATGATATCTAAGAAAAATGCTTTGGTAGGCCTCTGAGAATTGCAGAATTGACGACCTGTGCCGGTCTGAGCTGCCTATTTTCTTCCCTCTCTAGATTATCCTCTTGACTTGAACCACAGTGAAACCTTCCTACAAACCACAACATTTCTTCCTGAAGACTTCACCTACTTTGCAAACCATACCTGCCCCGAGAGGCTCCCTTCCATGAGTGAGTAGCGCGTCCCCTGCTTTTCAAACTGACGTGTCTGTTTCTTTGATTAAAATGAAAGGGAGAGTGTTCTCAGTTTCTCAGGATGCCTCCCCTATGTGGAGAATAGAACAGGGATTTGGAACTGGAAACAGGGATTACAAAAGCTATTTGTGTCCTGACCCGTCTTCAGCCCTTCTGCGAGGTTGCCTATGTTCCTGGTGCCATTTTCTACCGTATTTTTCGGTCTTTCCTTTGCACGTACCCCCTGCTCGGTGACTTGGGGTCTGTAAGATGTCCTAGAGAAAAGTACAGGCAACCAGCTTTATCTTTTAGTACAAAAGATAAAATCCCACGCTGATTATAACTTGTTTGATCATATGACGAACGTGACTCCCTCCAAGTGCTGGTTCAGAAGAATTCTGGGATCTTTTTCTCTCTCCATTCTTAGCGTCTCATGTGTAATCTGAAGCAATGGCAGGAAGCCCTTGTGCCTTTTCCGTGCCTTCGGGCTTCTCGGACAGGGCCCCTTCACTTGAGTCAGTGATGGCAAGTGTTTGGGGTTTGGGCAGCATCACTTGGGATCACTGAGGAGTGAATTGGGACCCTGTGTCTGCTTGCCTCTGGAGCGCGCAGAGAGGCTCCAAGCTTAGCCTCGCTCTTTCCTCCTTCCTCTTTGAGAAGGTCAACTGCCGTTCCACTCAGTCTTAATTTCTCAACTTGCTGCTTTACCCAATACTAGTGATGAACTGAAATGCAAGGAGTTGCAAAGCAGAGGAAGCGCCTCCCATCTCTGTGAAAAACAAATTAGCTGGAAAAAAGAGCATTGAACCTCCCCAGAGAGTGAAACCCTGGTCACTGGGGAAGGGGGGGCTTTCTGACCCTTTCTGGACGCTTAATTCTTTTTCTCCCCTCCTCCCCCTGCCAACTCTCTTTTCAGAGGGCCCAATAGACATAAACATGAGTGAAATTGCAATGGATGACATCCATGAAATCTTCTCTAAAGACCCAGCCATCAAGCTCGGAGGTCACTGGAAGCCTTCAGATTGCGTGCCTCGATGGAAGGTAGGGTGTGCAGTCAGGCCCGAGGTGCTGGGAGGCCCACCTGGCCTTGCTCTCATTCCAAGCCACCCTGGGGTTCACAGACTGTGGTAATTCGTAATTTGCACACTATGACCCGATGCAGAATATCTGCATTTGATGGAAACACTTCGGAGGCATGGGTTTCCCGAAGGACATTCTGTAGCCCCAGAAACGTGCATCGCTCCTATGACTGAGCAGGAAGGACCCTTTTGTCGTCTTCATAGGATCTGGCTAAGCAAGGGGGAGGCTTCGTAGGTCTCTTGTGCCACATTTGTAAAAGCCACCTTCACAAATTCACTGCTTCGTACCTTTTTCGGCATTGTTACTCTGAGTTTAGTGCAACAAAGAGGGTAGCTCTCCAGCCCGACACTGAGAATTGCTTATTGGTTTTCCTGCATGACTCGAAGCCATCAGTATGTGGATCTGGCTCCTGACACTGGCTTAAGTCCATTCTTTTAGCAAGTTACTTGCTCCAGGGCTTATTCTGTGCCAGGCCTGCAATGAGCAAGGCAGATCTGGAATAATAGGTGGGCGTTTCCAGCCCGTCGCTGGGATGCCATACCAATTCAGTGACCAGCATTTTAAAAAAAAATGTATATACATAAAAGATACACATATGTCAAAGTGCACTGCATGTCCTAAGGGGTGTGCTGTTCTGTGGAGTGCGTTTTAGTTGTGTGCTTATATCTGTGGACGTGTTTGTGTGCGGGTCGTGGTGTAGAATGAGTATCTTCCTCTGGGATGCGGTCTAGAGTGAATTCATTCGGCGGGTCGGCTGTGGGCACAGTATGGTGTGTGTAAGAACAAAGTCCGCTTACTTCCAAGGGTCTCCCTGCCAGCATAGCTTTTCATTTAGTGGAGGTCGAAGACAAGGCAGCCTTCCAGAACGCCCCAGGGGCAGGCTGGTCACAATTCTGTGGCAGTGTCCTGCTACAAAGTGGCAGCTGAGGGGATGAACGGGACGGCTTCCTCTGCTGTGCCCTGCTCCAGGTGGCCATCCTCATTCCTTTCCGGAACCGCCACGAGCACCTCCCGGTCCTGCTCAGACACCTGATTCCCATGCTTCAGCGCCAGCGCCTGCGGTTCGCGTTCTATGTGGTTGAGCAGGTGAGTGGCCTGTCCTTTGCTGTTCTTTCTGTTCTGAGACAGCAGTTCACAGTGCTTTGAGCCCGTCCGTCCGCCTTTGGAGTACAGAGCCAGTGAAACTGCTATCTTAGGACTGAGCTACCCAGAGGTGAAAGGAGGAGCAGAGAGCAGTTCTGGGCTTCTGGTTTGAGATGTTGCTCAACACGGGCAGACTGGAGTGAGTCCAGGATGGAACTTTGTTTACCCTTGAATAAAGGCCCCTTGTGTGGTGGTTTAGCCAGAGGTGCTTTGGGTGGTGTCTTTGGTCTCCAGACCCAGGAAATTCCCCTTTAAGATAAGAAGCCATGGGTAGAAATGGCCCTTCTTGTTCTGTCTTCCCTTTATGGGGCTGGGTACTTCTCCAAATGTGTGATAGGTCAGATGCCTGCTTTCATGACAGTCTTGGGAGAGAGGAGCTTGGGCTTGTTATCCTTCTTATTTCTAAGGAAATCGAGGCCAGATGTCAAGTGGCTTGCGAGGCAGTGAAGAGCGTGCTGGCCAAGCCCTCCTCTGGCTTGGTGATCTGTCCCAGTCAGGTTCATTAAAGCTCTCCTTTAGGCAGGGCTGAGGCAGCGAATCTGTTGCTCCACAAGTCCTGTTAAAAATAAAGTTCTGCTTCTTTTTTAGGTTGGCACCCAACCCTTTAATCGAGCCATGCTTTTCAATGTCGGTTTTCAAGAAGCAATGAAAGATCTGGACTGGGACTGTCTTATTTTTCACGATGTGGATCATATACCGGAAAGCGATCGGAACTACTATGGATGTGGGCAGATGCCAAGGCACTTTGCAACTAAGTTGGACAAGTATATGTATCTGTGAGTATCATTTCCTCTGGAAGAGGTTAAATCTAAAAGGATGCTGAGAGATGCAAAGATGGCAAAATCCAATTAGCTCCACCCCAGTGTGCATCCTCTGGCGAATGGATAAATAAAATGGAGTGCAACCACAGCTTGGAACACTGTTAGGCAATAAAAAGGAATGGAGTCCTGCTACATGTGGCCGGAGGGATGAACCTTTGAAAACACTGCTTTGTGAAAGAAGCTAGTTACCAAAGGCCACATGTTGCATGATTGTGCTCCCATGACTTGTTCAGAATCGGCAAATCCATAGAGACAGAACAGTGGTTGCATCGGGTTGCGGAGTGGGAATGAGGAGTGACTGATGGATTCAAGGCTCCTTTTTGGGGTGATGAAAGGTATTAAAATGGATTGGGGTTCATGGTTGCACAACTCCGCGAATATCCTAAAAATGATGGAATTGCACACTTTATAAATGGGTGAATCATTTGGAATGTTAGTTATGTTTCAGTAAAGCTGTTACGAAACAAATCAATTCGAGAAAGATGCAGTTCGCCGCAAAGGTCGATGCGTCCCAGTGCGAGGAAACGGTTGCAGGTGGTTGAGGGCAGTAGGTGCTGTATTGCGTAGGACACGGTTCTCCAGTGCCACGGTGGCCCTCCGCAGGGGAAGAAACCATCCTTTGATTCCCAGATGATTCAAGCTGTACATCTCCTTCTAGGCTTCCTTACGCCGAGTTCTTTGGTGGAGTGAGCGGCTTAACAGTGGAACAGTTTCGGAAGATCAATGGCTTTCCGAACGCTTTCTGGGGTTGGGGTGGAGAAGATGACGACCTGTGGAACAGGTACTCCCCTCTTCCGGTTTCCGGGGCCTTCTAGAAATGCCACCTTTGGCTCCCCAGACCAGAGCCACACAGGAGGGATAGGGTGCAAGCCATGTAGGTAACGTGAAACGTCCTAGTAGCCACGTTTAAAAAGGTTAAAAAAAGGCTTTTTGAGGTGGAATTCATTTTAGTGTAGTAATAAAACATTCCAGTAGTATATTTATCACAATATATCAAAAATAATATCATTCCAACATATAATCAATAGGAGATGTTAATGAGATACTTCACATTTGTTTCTCTTACAATATCTTTGAAATCTGGTACTATTTTACATTCATAGCGCATTTCACTGAAACCTCCCCAAACAGGAGGTCATGTATTAGTGATAGGTGTACACAGATTTATCTGTACTATCGGATAAGGCTTGTATTACACAAGTTTGCGAGAACGATGCTGTATTTGAGTAGTGTAAACTAATCTTTTTACAGACTAAGGAAATAGTAACCTAATGAGGAGCAAATAAGCAAAAGAATCTCCACCTTGTATCTGTTGACTTTCTAGATGGGCTCTAAAAAAGAAAGTTACATGTAGCTTATTAATTACAAAGTAATACTTGCTGGTAAAAATTCACAGAATAAAGGTGCATAAACCGGGGCGCCTGGGCGGCTCAGTCGTTGAGCGTCTGCCTTCGGCTCAGGTCATGATCCCAGGGTCCTGGGTTCGAGCCCCGCATCGGGCTCCCTGCTCGGCGGGAGGCCTGCTTCTCCCTCTCTCACTCTCCCAGCTTGTGTTCCCTCTCTCGTGGTATCTCTCTCTGTCAAATAAATAAAATCTTAAAAAAAAAAAAAGTGCATAAACCAAAAGGGTATAATTCTTTAATGCTGTGCTGTCTTGTTCCCAGGAAGTAGTATTTTAACAGGGCTGTTTCTTTCTCTGCTTTGTATTCATACACAAACAACCCAGACCCATCCCTTCTCCCCTCCCAACCATTTTAATACAGAGAGAGCCACTTCATTATCTTTAACAATTGCATGGTTTTCCTTTACGGAGATAGACGATATTTTATTTTAACCCTCTCCTGTCAATGAACATTGTTTACAATTTTTGAATATCCTTGTTCATGTGTGCAAATAGCTCTTCAGATTGAATTCCTAGTTGTGGAACTGCAAAGTCAAGTAAATGTTCTTTTAAATTTGCATAGTTATCATCAGGATTTCTCCCCAAAAGAGATCGCAGAAAGATTCCAAGCAGCGGTGCATCAACATTCCCGCTTTCTCACGTCACCGCCAGCATTGGTTATAGACAACCTTTTGCGTTTTGCTACATTTCAGCCCTTGAGCAGCCATGTGTGGCTCGAGGCTGCCTGTACTGGACAAAGGAGCTCCAGACAATTCTTTTCTCAATCTGAGAGGTAAAAATGGCATCTCATCCTCTTAGTTTGGGTTTCTTAGGGACCTAGTGAGGATGAACAGCTTTTCCATAGCATAACTGGTTTGACTGGTCCTTGAATCCAGTTGAGCTCTCCCAGGATATCTGTTGTAATTCTCAGCTCAGCTGGAGCCCCTGGGCTCAAGAACAGGAGCTGGTTCTCCCCAGTGCCCTGCACAGTTCCCAGGCGCACAGTAGGCGTTCTCTATATATTTATCAAATCAGAGCGAGAACACATTTCCCAATATCAAAAGGAGAGTATAATTTGGAGCCAAGAGGAGGATGTTGAAATAATACTCCCCCAAGTTTTTTAAAATATGAAGACAACCGTAGATTTCACATAGATATCCAAAGTCTACCTCCATGTATTAATTATTTCTTACACCCCTATCAGGTTTCCAGTAAATCCAGCTTGTGAAATTCTGGTCTTTATCACATTAAGGATAAATAACCGAACACCTCCTTAAGTTCTGCTTTCCTCCTAGTGATGTGAAATTTTACATTGAGATCAGAGGACATCATACAAATTAGTTCATCTCCCTGGTCGTGGGGGAGGTGGGCAGAATCATTAAGTTCATAAGCAGGGAAAACACAGTGCAACTCTGAGTACTGATTTGCTTTATAGTAGGTTGTGAACAGGAAAGGTGCTGTCCACTGGTGAGAAAAGCCTTTTTGATAGGACCCAGACCAGCCGGCGGAGAGAGAGTGAGAGTGCGTACTTATCTCCTGGGGGATGCTCACTGCTGTACCTGTCACTGAGGACCTGTGTCACACCTTACTCTCAAGAATTTTGAATTCCTTTTCTTTTTCAAAACTTTTTGGTATTGTAGACCTCTTTTCTAAAGCCATGAACTTATCCAGAGGAATGGGCAATTGAATATTCAGACACAGAAGAAGTTCTCTTGATCAACTTGGGGTTCTCAGCCTTGGCCATCTGTGGTCATCTATGGTACTTGATCATTTTATCTGAAAGCCCAATCTCTTTGTCTCGGACAGAGTACAGAATGCAGGCTACTCTGTGAGCCGGCCGGAAGGTGACACAGGGAAGTACAAGTCTATTCCTCATCACCATCGAGGAGAAGTCCAATTTCTTGGAAGGTGGGCACAATTTATTTATTCTTCTTGCAAATAGCCTTCATACTTTGCATTTCCGGATGTCCCAGAGCATATCATAGTGCAACCCCTCGGCTTATTCCCCTCCTCCTCTCTACGGTCCTGTTACGGCTGCTTTATAGTTCCTAGATAGATTTTCATTTACCTGTGAGGCAGGCGTTTGTGTGAAATCAGATTATCGGTGAAAATTTTGATCAAAGATCTTTGAAGGAAATCACTCATTTGGCCCCTTAAGCCTCATGGTCTCCTCTGTAGCCTTCAGGGAGTTGGAGAGAGGTCCACTCGGTCAAAGGTCCCTGTGTAACTTCCACTGACAGGACAAAGCAGAGTTGGCACCCTTTCTGCGAGCTCCAGTTCTGGAAGGGTGCCCCCGAGCTTCTGTTCGTGCGGGTGCCCTTGATAAGGAAGTTCTGTACTGCACTAATTGGGGCATGTGGATGGAGTGACATCTCTGTTTTCAGGAATGCCCTTTTGTCTTGTTAACTGGGAGGACTGCCCTCTGGACACCACCAGGTCTGATTGCATGAACTCTGTCATCCGGGGAGTAAGAAGGCACTGAGTGCGGACCCCGCCCTGGCTCATCTGATGTGGTTTTAATATCTTACCTCCCACTTCCCCCTTCCGTGACCTTACCTTGAGCAAGTCATGGAACACTGGGGGGCCTTGGTTTCCTCATTTGCTTAAGGAGCGGTGCATTCAGTGAAATGAATGGCATGAGGCAGGAAATGTTTCTAATAATAAGCCCCAGCAGGGAGCAGCTGGGCGGGGTGGGCCAGCCCCTCCGCCCCGTGGTGCCAGAGAGCCGCCCTGTGGTGCCAGAGAGCCACCCGGGGTCGGGGCCCCTGCCGCGGGCTGCCCTGCTCTGTCCTCTGCCCTGAGGCGGCCGGGCCCTCCCTCAGAGCCGCCCCTCTGCTCTCTGCTCAAACAGGTACGCTCTGCTGCGCAAGTCCAAAGAACGGCAAGGGCTGGACGGCCTCAACAACTTGAACTACTTTGCGAACGTCACACACGACGCCCTATATAAAAACATTACCGTGAACCTGACACCCGAGCTGGCTCAGGTGACCGAGTACTGAGCCGGGGAGACAGGCTGGGTTTGCTTTACCCCCCGCCGCCAGGGAAGCCCACCTGGGGAGAGGTCTTGGGGCTCCACACAAGAAGAGAATAGAAATACGGTGTCTGATGAAGGATTACAGGGTTCGAGGAGAAAACCTGAACAGAGTACGCGCACAGAACGCCTTCGCTGTGGCCAGGGACATCCTTCGTCAGGACCGGCTGTCTGTTTCCACAGGACGGACGTCGGTCCTGCCACTTTTCCCCCCTGGTCCCGAACCCCAGCGTCCCGTCCCAGCCGGGCTCTCCAGAACAGCAACTGACATCTCCTGTGGTCCTGGCTTCGAGCCCGTTCCTACGAATGGCCTTTGGAGCTTCTCGACCTTCAGAGCAAAGAGGCAACCCCACCACAGGGCTCTTTTAGGAAGAGCAAATGAAACTCCACACACCATTCTTCTCCATCTCTGGTGTTCTCTTTGGTTTAGTTTTTGTTTTTTTTTTTTTTAATTACCTGCTTTGGGTGGGGATTGAGGGTGGGGCGGGGGAGGGACGGGGGAAGGTAAATAGACCTATAACAATCACTTCTTGAAGAAGTATAATTGTAAATAAGCCATGTAAAATGCCTTTTTTAAATTTAATTTTATAGCTGGCTCCAATTCAAACTGAGGATTTATATATTAGATCACTTACTTGGTTGGCAAATGCAGGAACTCAGTTAAAATGCAGTGGAGAAGGGTATCACCTCCCGAATTGCTATCACTTTGGAAGGGAGTGGAGATAGGGCGTGTCACAAACAGATCAGGACAGTCCAGTCTGTCAGTGGTAGCTAACTCCTGCCCCCTCCCATCTTCTTCCAGAAGTCTTGCTCGTGACTTTCGCTGTGGACTCTCTCTTCCCTGTTGGGCACATACACTCTCAGCCCGGTCTCCTGCTAAACAGGAGCCCTCCTTGCTCAAAGTGGACCCCTTCAGGGGGTCTCCCTGTGCGCACGCCCCTGGATCTCTGGACTTCGGTCTTTGTCCTCTCATCACCAAGAGTGGTGGGGTTGGTTGGGTGGGTTTTCTGCCTCTTCTTTTTTCCTTTTTTGTTTTTTTGCTCTTGTGGAACTTGGCCACAATTCCTGAAATCTGTGCCTGAATTATCAACTAGCTTCAGTGATTCCTCTGAATATTTCCCTTTTTGGTTTCCGGAAAGATTCTTTGTCAACATTATGAACTAGTTCATAGAACTAATGAGCGATGGACTGAAGAAGTCAGCCAGAGAGCAGGCGACACTTATGTGCTGTGGGTCAGTTGGGGGCCGGGGTGGACCCCGTCATGAGCTTCGCAGGTAGACGGACGGAGCTCTCGGATGCCAGGACCCAAGCCCAAAAGAATGCTGGGTTCACACCCCATGCACTTCTTGAAATTAGAGTCTAAATTGCCCTTGAAGTTGTGCCTCTCTGTTTTTCCCTGAGCCAAATCCCTCAATTTGTAGTCCCTCTTGGCTTCTGCAGGATTCTGAAAAAGGCCAGTCTTTTCCTCTCCTTTTCCATAAAACATATTTATATATTGTGATTAGGAGTACTTTCTGAAAAGTACTTCATATTTTTTTTAATTGCCTTGTTTGCCTTCAACTTCCTTAATTTTCATGGTTTACATGGATGTGTGTGTAGGGGGTATATTTGTGTATATACGTGTGGGTTGGGGTTTTCTCCGTTGCATGTGTTGGTTCCTTGGACGTATGATCCCCACAAGCTGTGGGAGTGATTGGCCAGGCCTTGTTTTTTGTTCATGCTTTTGTTCTTTTGAAGAATAGAGTGATACTGTAGAAAACCAACTGCGTTACAAAGCTCTTATCGGCTCATATGAGAGAGCAGGCTGCTGCCCTTGAAAATGCTGGTAAGTTGTATCATATGTTTTAAAAGAATGTTCAGCATCTCATGCTTTAAAAGACTTTCACGAGGGAACATTACACACAGGAGCTAACTTGGTTTTCCTTTGAAGTCTGGTGCACAGAGCAATAAAGATTTCTTTCCCCTTTTCTCCCGCCTCCCCTCAGGCCTATGTGCTGGCCTTGACTCTCCTCCTCCCTTCTGTCCTCTCCCATCCCCGAAGGCCGTGAGCGGCTTTCAGTGGGACACAGCCATGATGTCATTAGGAAGAATTTGCCAGAACAGACCGATCCTTGGTACACGGCAGTATTGTAAAATGGTCTCGTTTAAAGCTTTTCACGAACATACTTGCCACCAAGAACAAAGCGTTGACAAAAGGCTAAACAGCTGATTTGAAAAGGAAAATGCTGATTTGAGGACAAAAGGAAAGGTGTCTTTTCACTGCTTGAAGTAAGGTCACTGAAATCATTTTGCGATCATGTGTGAGTTTGTCTTATCAGTGTGAAATCTCTTACTGCGCACCGCTTAGTCATTTACCCACCAAGTTGAGTATCGTGTGGGAAAAATAGAAGTTGAAAACATACAGCCAGGCCCATGAGCTGTTAATGGTGTGAGAGTCTCATGTTAAAAAAAAAAAAAAAAAGAATAAGAACCAAATGTGACCTTGTGTGTATTTTGGCAGCTGAAATTCTTTTAAGGCTACTGATGGGTGACCCCTTCAATCAGTCTTGTCTCAGCTGCGTGCAGGGAAACATTTCTCCTTTCACACTGTTTTTCTGGGTGAGGAGTTACTGCAAAAATACTCCTTTTGACATGATGGGCTCCTGTTGGAGCTCCTCTACCACAGTCATGAATAGCTGAGCACCAGCCGCATGTACTGATTGTGTCCACTCACCGTTGACAATGGCATTGAACGTAGCTAGCTTCCTTCCATCAGGATGTTTTTTTTGAGCTTGCTCTTATGTTGTAAGAGGTGCCAGGGGTACATTTTTGCACTGAAATCTAAAGATGTTTTAAAAACACTTTTCACAAAAATAGTCCTTTGTCATTACATTATTTACTCATGTGTTTGTACATTTTTGTATGTTAATTTATGAATGATTTTTTCAGTAAAAAATACATATTCAAGAACCAAACCTTGGTGGTCGTCTGTCTTTGCCTAGAACAGTTTGGCTTCTTGGAGGCCTTTCCTCTCTTTTTCTCGTGGGACTTCAGCTCCTGTGTGTGTTCCTTCACGTGGCTTGGCTTCCAGGTTGCTCGGCTGAGCCCTGGGTGCTCCCGAAAAAGACTGCCCGCCTGACCTGGCGACCAGACCAGATGAGTGAAAAACTCAGCTGATGGAGCAAAAGCACTAAACCCCACCGTACGATCCTCCCACACTTGGGTTTTCTTTCCAGAATGGGCCCATGTGATGCCCATCGAGTCAAACAAGACATCTGGGCAACGAGAGGATGAGAGTGGATGGAGTTTGAATCAAGGAGGTCCTCTGAGGTCAGTCGAGAGTTTGCTTTCTGCCTGGTTCCGCTTGGAGATTGTAATCAAAGCTTCTATTTGTTGAACGTTTACCACTCACTGATATTGAGTGTCAAGTTCTGTGACCAGGTGTTAGGAATATAATGATGAGCAAAAAGGATAGGGTCAGTGGCCTCATAAAACTCACTGTCCTCCTGCCCCACACCCCCAGGTGGAGGGTATGATTAAAATTACAACCGGGACGCCTGGGTGGCTCAGTTGGTTAAGCGTCTGACTCTTGGTTTTGGCTCACGTGATGGCCTCAGGGTTCTGGGATTGAGTCCCCCACATCGGACTCCATGCTCATCGAGGAGTCTGCTTGCCCCCTCCCCAAAATAGATAAAATCTTAAAAAAAAAAAAAAATTACAACCACAAGGAGTGCTGCAAAGGACATGGCTGCAGGCCTCAGGCGCACGGTGTGGAAGGGGTCCCTGGCGGGAGGTGGGTGAGCTACTGAGCTGCAGGAACAGAATTCTGTCGGGCTGGTGCAAAGGACAAAGGGCTGACCGGGGACTGCTAGGCCGGGGGGTGTATGAGGCCGGAATATGCCTTGTGGGGGCCTTGTGAGCCGAGGTAAGGATATTGGGTTTTAGCCTTAGAGCAGTGGCCTCGAGAGTTCCCAGCAGGTGGGGCTGTGTGTGATGTCGTTAGACGTAATCTTACTGGATGGCTCGGGCTGCAGGGAGAACGGGGCTATAGAGAAGCAACGGAGAAGTAGGGGACCAGGTAAGTGCACACAGTCCCGCGGGGAGAGTATGGAGGAGGGCCTGGGGGGATGCTGAAGGAACAGCTGGCTGTTGGGAGGGAGGAATCCACCTAGCTTGTGGCTTCCCCACCGAACAGATAATGGCAAACAGACAGTTGGATATAGTCCAGTTTGGGGACTCCAGGGAACAGTGGGGACCAGGGTGGGTCGTGAGTCGCTAGATGAGCGCACAGCTAGGAGTGAACGCAGTGGGCTCTGGAGCTGCGTAGAGCAGGCGCCTAGAGGGAGAAGGTGGCCTTGGCCCAGGCCTCTCAGAGCTCCCTTTCTATCGGTTGGAAGCAGAGTGGGAGTGAGCAGGGCCGACCGAGGTAGGTGGATGGAAGCCGCAGTGGGCAGGACAGGAAAGTGAAGGGAAGAGACGTTCGAGGGGAGGAGGGGGAGGCGGTCACCGTCTCAGGGCGGGCCAGAGGGGAGGGGCTGAGAAAGGGCCGCGAAGCAGGAGCAGCAGTCGGGGCAGCCGCCTCGAATCCCATGTGAAGGGCTAAGAAGAGAAGGCTGGGAGCCGAGCGAAGCCTGTGAGGCTCAGGGAGGCTTTTGATTTTGATTTTCCAACAAGAGAAACCTGAGTGGTGTGAACCATAGGGAGATGGGGACCAGAGAGAGAAAGCTGAACATCCAAGAGACAGAGGCTAATTTAGCAGGGATGTTCCTGCAGTCCTGGCAGCAGATGAGACCAAACGGGAGCCGGGAGGAATTAGGAGCCCTTCCTAGGGTGTTGGCAGACCCAAACAGCCTGTGAAGACCCATGTGGCTGTTCAAAAAAATCAAGGATCCCTTTCAGTCATAAGTCACCAGAATTGGAATTAGGCAGAACTGGTTCCTGGCATTACCACTTCCTCCCCACTCAAAAAAAAAAAAAAATTTTTTTTTTAATTTGGGGGAAGTACAGTCCTAAAATTAGTAGTTCCCATTTGTTGATGTTTGTTTTGTGCCAGAGGCTGTGCCAGTTCGTCTTCAGCCCTGTGAGGGAGACATTGCCCCTCTTTCTAGAACAAGGGTGCTCAGCCTTTGGCTCTGAAAATTCAGGGCTGGATCATTCTCTCTCTGCACGAGGCATGAGGGGGTGTTTAGCTGTACCGTTGGCCTCCACCCTCTACAGGCCAGTAGCAGCACCCCTAGCTCCCCAGTCGTGACGATGAAAATTGTCACCAGATACGGCCAAATGACCCTGGGGAGAGCAAAATCCCCCGGTGGCGGCTGTGGCTCTAGAGCTGAGGAACGGAAGCCAGTGTTCGCTGGAGGTCCCAGAACCAGCACATAGAGACAGCTGGGGTTTGAACACCCATTGTTTTTACCCCGAGGTAAATGCTCTGAACCCCTACTCTACTTTTTTTTTGTATATGTGCTTTTAAATGCCTTTTGTTTACAGACAGTTCATAAATAGTTTGATTAATAAAAGTAACACGTGAATACAGGCTCATTGAAAAAGTTTTAAATCCCTCCCCCTGGAATGGTAGGAGTTTGGCTGGTATTGATGCCTGTCTGCCTACCGGCACGTATGGGAAAATAAAGACACGTTTACCTTAAAGAACAACAGAAATTGTCCTGCAATTACTTGTGGGTTTTTATCCTAATATTTCGCAGAGATGTCTTCTCTGTGATTGAAAGGCTTCCTCAAAGAAAGCTCAGTGTCCCCTCCTCAGAGAGGCGTTGCGTGAGCACCAGGCTAAAATGGTCTCCTTTATTTTGTTCCACAAGATTTCTTACTCTGAATCCTGTTATTTTTATTGGTTTGTTGTTCATGGGCTGTCACCCCCACTAAAATGTCGTCCCCAGGAAGGTAGAGACTGCTGTGTTCTTGCTCTATCCCTGGTACCAAGAACTGGCCCCAGCACGGAGTGGGTTCTTAGGAATCTCTGTTGAATGAAACTGCCTTCTTCCTCTGAACGGCCGCACATGGTAACCCCTGTATGGACGGATGGCCTTTATGTAGCTCCTTCCCTCCTGATGGACCTGGAAGTTGTTCTCAGTTTTCTACTGTCACATCATATGCCCCTCAGTGAACAACAGCTGTGTGCAAATCCGAGGGCCCGGATGTAACTAGGTCGACTTGAGTCTCAGAAGGGAGGGGGTGTGGAGTGCCGGTGGTCGACGATAGTGCAATTCCATGCAAGATGAAGACGTTCTGGAGATTGGTGGCAAAACTGTGTGAATATACCCAGCAATACGGAGCTGGACGTGTAAGAATGGTTTAAGATTTAACTTGTATGTGATGCATATTTTTACCACAATCTTAAAAATGATAAAATTCTACTTATGAGGGGCGCCTCGGTGGCTTGGTCAGTTGAAAGTCTGGCTCTTGATTTTGGCTCAGGTCATGATCTCAAGGTCACGAGACTGAGCCCCAGGTCAGGCCCCGTGCTCAGTACTTGAGCTTCTCTGCCCCTCCCCCACTCTCACCCATGCGAGATCTTTAAAAAAAAATTCCAGGGGCATCTGGCTGGCTGGTTAAGGGTCTGCCTTCAACTCAGGTCATGATCCCAGGGTCGTGGGATCAAGTCCTGCATCGGGCTCCCTGCTCAGTGGGGAGCCTGCTTCTTTCTCCCTCTGCTGCTCCCCCTGCTTGTGCTCTCTCTCTCTATCAAATAAAGTCTTTAAAAAAAAAAATTCTACTTATTAACCTCATCCAGTAGGAACTTCCATGATCTCCCACTTGAAGCCTTGGCACCCCCTCACATGGTAGGCCCTTATTAAATATCTGCTGAATTAATTTGTAAATTTTTAAAAAATCTGGTTTGCCTGTGTGCTGGTTTTGGTCGTCCGTTCTGGCAGAATGATGGACGCAGAAGCGTCGTGTCCCGCATTGTCCTCCATCGCCAGGAGCTCTGTCGGCAGCCACGACAAGGATCAAAGAAAACACAGTTCAGTGTTGTAATCGGCACGTCCTTCCTGTGGCGTGTCCTTCCTACATTTGTCAGCCCGGCTCTTCCGTGTTTCTGTGTCGTCTGTCACTCTTCACTATCACTCCCTTTTCCTTTGCATTGACAGAGCCTTGATCGTCTTTTCTTCCCTCGTCGGGTGGTTTGATTTCCTTCCATGTCACTGCTATTATGTGTTACATGGCGATGAACCAACCAGTACACATTGTTGGTTTCATTTTTCCTGGACTCCTTGTTTGTCCTGTGATCCCTCCTTCTCCATTCATAGTTCTCTTGTTGTTTAGCCTAACTCCGGGCTTAGCGAGTGATGGTCTTTGTAAATAAAACTTCACTGAAACACAGCTATGCCCATTTGTTGACGTGTGGACCGCGGCAGAGCTGAGGAGTCATGACAGGCTATGTGTGGCCCCCAAATGGAAACTGTTTACTCTCTGGGCCTTGACACAAGGAAATGTTTGCCAGCCTTTTGCCTCACCAATTCATTTCATGTACAGAAGGTTAAATTTTGTCTTTGAGCCTTGGCAGTTTGCATGCAGGGTGGCAAGTAAATAATTGGATAGAGTGCATTTAAAGCTGACGTTGGGGACATTAGCCTCGGGGGATTTTCCCTTGCTTCTCCCTGTGCTGGAGACACTTCTTTGATTTCAGATGGTAGACGTCTTCCCTGAACACTCAGTCGGAAGCAGCCGGCTGTCCCAGTCCCGTGTGATTTTTTTCTTCATAGCACATCACCAGGTGAATCTCCTTGTTCGTTTGGTTGTTCCCTGGTTTATGAGCTGTCTTCCCCCCAACACTGTAAACTTCTGAAGGCAAAGACTCTCAGCTCTCCACCATCCACAGCCACCTGTGGCAGGAGATGGTGTTAAGGTACTTGTCGAATGAAAGAGAGATGGAGAGAGACCGGATGTGTGTGTATGTGTAGGGGGGGTGGTGTTCCTACCCAGACTCCTAGGCCTTTCAATTTGTCCTTCTTACAAA